AGTTGCTTATTGGCCTGGAATGAAAAAGGATGTCAAGAACTATATTAAAGGGTGCCTGATCTGTGGTCAGTTTCAGCCATCCAGACCACTCCAAAGAGCACCACTGCAAAGTAGAGGCATTGCATTCCCATGGTCCGACTTCCAGATCGACTGGGTTGGACCACTTACTAAGAGCACTAGAGGAAATAAATATTTTCGCATGGTAACTTGCATATTTACCAAATGGGTAGAATGCCTACCAGCTCCTAACGACACAGCACAAACAACTGCTATGTTACTAATGAATCATGTATTTTCAAGGTTTGGACTTCCCCTCAGGGTGAACTCAGACCAAGGTACGCACTTCACAGCTGAAGTGATGAAAGAACTCTGGAAGATGCTAGGCATCAAAGTCAACTTCCATGTTGGCTACCACCCACAGGCCTCAGGCCAAGTAGAGAGAGCAAACAGAACTGTGGTAAGTATTTTGAAGAAATACGTAGCCGCAAACCACAAGGACTGGACGTGAAACTCCCTCTGGTCCTCATGGCCATAAGGGCCACTCCACACACATCGACTGGCATCTCTCCCTTCGAGATGATGACGGGTCGACAAATGACTCTCCCTCTACACCTGTTGTACCAACCAGGTGATGCCGCCATGGCAACAGCCTACACCACACAACAATACATGAATGATTTGGAGGAACACCTTGAAAACACCTTTGCGTTTGCCCAGAAAAACATGGAAAAATCTGCTGAAGGACGAAAGGCGTACTATGACTAAAAGGCCTCTCACGAGGAACTCCAAGTGAGAGATAGGGTCTGGTACTACACGTTCGCCCCCACAACCGGGAAAAGAGAGTCCAGGACCAGAACTCTCGCCCGCAAACTGATGCCCAAGTGGACTGGACCCCACCTGATAACAGACAAACTGTCTCCAGTTGTCTATCAGATCAAAATCAGCAAAGGCCAGAAGGAGCCAATGGTTAAATGGGTACATCAAAACCAGGTTAAACTACACAAGGCGTTCAATAACTCCACAAGAGACAAAGATCTCACAAACTCAGACCCAGTGGGAAAAAGGTCATCCAAGCAGAAACTAAATAAGTTTCAGCTTAATTAAGTGTTAAGATAACATACCAGACGCGATAACGTGATCAAATCTGACAGTCAGAGTGAGTGACGCACCGAAACGTTGTTTTCTAGTTGCTTAATCACTACTTTTGTATGTTTTGAACAATCCTATTCGGGGGGGGGGGGGGGGGGGGGGGGGGG